TTAATATTTCTTTCAGGCATATGAACGTGGTATCGCTCTTTTCAAGTGGCCAAATGTTTACGACATCTGGAACACTTACCTCACCAAGTTTATTGATCGATATGGGGGCAAGAAGTTGGAAAGAGCCAGAGATTTATTTGAACAGGCATTGGATGGCTGCCCAGCCAAATTTGCTAAGAGTGAATATCTTTGGTTGAATTACACTGACAAATTTAGTACATTGAAGTGCCCCCCTCCGTTATAAAATGTACTTAACCACAATGGCTTTCTTTTCAGCTATTTATCTACTGTATGCCAAGTTGGAGGAGGAGTATGGATTGGCGCGACACGCTATGGCTGTATATGAAAGAGCAACACAGGCAGTAGAAACTGAGGAGAGACATCTCATGTTTAACATCTACATCAAGAGAGCAGCTGAAATTTATGGAGTTACATATACCAGAGCAATCTACCAGAAGGCTATTGAGGTACAGTAACATTGTCCTATCTCTTGCATACAGCTGCATTATCCTTTTTAATCTTTTTTTTTTTTTTTAAATTCGAAACTCATAATTACAAGATCCGCCCTGATGTGATGCTATAAAGCTTTTTATTGTTCATTTTCCAGAATGTCATTATTCATCACAGGACTTTTCTGGCCAGAAATGAGATTTTTCCCAAATTAATTCACTTTTATGCCACTGTTGGAATATTGTAAATATATAATATATGGATTGGATTTATATAGCGCTTTTCAAGGCACCCAAAGCGCTTTACAATGCCACTATTCATTCACTCTCGCATTCACACACTGGTGGAGGCAAGCTACGGTTGTAGCCACAGCTGCCCAGGGGCAGAGTGACAGAGGCAAGGCTGCCATATCGCGCCATCGGCCCCTCTGGCCAACACCAGTAGGTGGTAAGGTAAAGTGTCTTGCCCAAGGACACAACGACTAGGACAGAGAGCCCGGGGATCGAACCGGCGACCTTCCGGTTACAGATACGCTTCCCAACCCCCTGAGCCACAGTCGCCCCAAAGGTCATATTACATTTATAGATCGCTAGATATGGAATTTCATTAAATTGATGAAAACTATAATCAATGATCATGTTTATTTTAGCCACAATTGGTAAGATAATCCGTATTAGTTAAAGAGCAAAATTGATTTTATGACTGACCACATTATCATTTTGCAGATATAATAAATCTAGACAATAGTCAGCCTCTTAAAAAAACCTATTACATTGTTTTGTGTAAAGTTGTTCATACTCATGGCATTTTTATTATATGCAAAGATCAGAAGTCATATACTTAATGTAAAAAGAATAACTTGACATTCTGATGGACAAAATACTCGTTACCTTAAATTACTGAACAAAGTTGCATTACAAAATTAAACTTCCCATCACCCCTCTGCTCATGATCTGTTACTCACAAAATACACCATGTTGCATCCCTTGTTTTGGTAAATGGTTCTGTGCAGTGTTCATACAGTTTGTGTTTATCCAGGTCCTTCCTGATGAGCATGCAAGAGACATGTGTCTACGGTTTGCTGACATGGAGAGTAAACTTGGTGAGATTGATCGTGGTAGAGCAATCTACTCCTACTGCTCCCAGATCTGTGACCCAAGGGTATGTGAATTCACCCCTTCTAGTCATTTGTCTACATTTGCTTCAAAATCTTTGGTTATATTTCTTCAAATTTTTACTTGACGTTTTAGGTGACGGCTAATTTCTGGCAAACCTGGAAAGATTTTGAGATCCGCCATGGAAATGAGGACACGATTAGAGAGATGTTGAGGATCAAACGAAGTGTCCAGGCTACATACAACACACAGGTCAACTTTATGTCCTCTCAGATGCTGAAGGCCACAACAAGCTCCACAGGCACTGGTAGGAGAAGTTGGATTAACCTAAAAGTGTGCTCCATTTAGATGTAGTTACATGAATATCACTGTGTGTTATATCAGATATTGGCTATTTGATATGTTTCAATTTATAATGATATGGTTGAATGCTCCGTATTTACTCCAAATCTTGAAGGAACCTCCTAGACCTACTCAAGAATTAACGTAGGGTCATTTAGGTGTCATTTTCTATGTATTTATTTATTTGTGTGTTTTTGTTTTTTTCCAAGTGGTTCTGCATTTGTCTAACCATCTGTTTCTGGTGTTCAGTGTCAGATCTTGCTCCAGGCCAGATGGGAATTGATGATATGAAGATGTTGGAACAGAAAGCACAACAGCTTGCTGCAGAGGCTGAACAGGACAAGCCTAAACCCAAAGAGAAGATTCTCTTTGTCAGGTTTGTTCTTCATTATTTTTTAAGTTAAAAGTATCTGTAGATTTCTTTTTTTTTTCTTTTTAATATAACAGAACTTCATCTTCCAAAGGAAGCTGAGGCACATGAATCCTTTTCACTTTAATTATGCAGGAGTGACACTTCTCGCAGTGAGCTGGCAGAACTTGCCAAACAAGCCAATCCTGATGAAATAGACATCGATGATGATGAGGATGAAGAAGATGAAGACCAAGGACCGGATGGTGCGTGAAAGACAGTACAATTTTCAGAATATTTTTTGTAAACATTTTCCGATGGAGGTATTTTAATGAATTCCTCTTTTTCCTCTTGGCTTTACAGAGGTGCAGCTTGAACAGAAGAGCGTCCCTACAGCTGTTTTTGGAGGGCTTAAAGATGACTAGACAATAATTCTCTCAGACTTGTACATTTGAGTTCTACGTCCTCTTGTGGTCATTCAACTGAACTATTCATAAATGTGTAGTTTTATGGCAGCACTGGTGTTTCTGTTTGTTTTCCTTGTGGATTTGTGTAGTTTATAATATAAGATATATTCGTTTTGACCACTTGGTTTCAGTATTTCTCAAACTTGGTGCTCAAGATAACTTTTTAGTTGTATGTGTTATGAATTATTATTTGCAGTAACACAATGACTGTAATTGAAACCTGATATAGTTTGTCTGTTCTTTTTGTTTTTTTATAAAATGTAAGAAAGAAACAGTGAAAACATTTTTTAAATCCAATAAATGCAGGATCTTTCCCAAACAGGAAGTTCTACCCTAGAAAAACATGGGGGAGGAGCATATCTCTTCAGTCATTTGAAACTTGAGCTGCGCATTCAAGCCTCACATTGTTGGCTTGAGGCTCACCAGTAGATGGGTGTCTTGTAATGCCAAGAGTTTCTGGAAAGCTTTTCTAACTTGTAGACAAATGTCACTATCCAAATCTTCATGCTGAAGTAGTACATGTACACTTAAACAGTTTCTACACTTAAATGATTTTTCCACCCCAGTGATAAGTGCAGGATTGCTGGGCTAATTGATATTTTTGAAAGTTTTTTGCTAGTAATGTTACAAAAATGGTGGTATTTTGGGTGTATTTGAGAAGCATTTTGAATCATATTTCCACATTCTTGGCAGTGCTTTTCAGTTATGTGCAAGCAGCTCTGGCTGTGACAAATTGAATGTCTAAAACTCCCTTTGTAATCGAAGTGATAAATACCTTTAAACCTGCATCAACATTCTTCTGATTAAAAAGCTGTTTTCTTTTCAAAGTAATCTAATTAAAAGAGAAACTGAACTGCTTGATGCATTTGCTGTATAGTCCTCTAGAACTCTTGTTCTTTTATTCAGAAATGACTAGAAGCAGAACTGTAAGTAGCCAATGATGTTTGAAGAATGACTTTTGTGATTAAATATATAGAATTATTTATGCGTTTGATAGAAAAGACCTTATGCTTTGCCACCATCCCATCCAAAGGGTTAAACATATTGAGTTGGGCAAAAGGTTGTGACTGGGAATTATTGTTTCTTTTATAATTAGATTAAAATAGCTGAGAGGTAATCCTCTTACAAAGTTACTGCAGTCGAGAACTTGAAGGGCTTTTGGAACGAACATCATATGATGAGGCACTCTTAAGATTTGTTTTCCAGTGTGGATGGCAGCAGAAAACACGGGTTTAAAAGCAGATGGAAGAAATCCCTCGAGTCTCATTATAAACATCCAACAAAAAATTTTTTTTTTCCAGAATGAATTATGCCTGTTTTTATTTTAGAAACTTCTTACATAGTCTGCCAGTATGTTTGCTCTGTTCCAGTCTTTGTGCTTTGTGTGACAGTTGTTTTAAAGAGGTAATAAGATTAACATCACCATACTGTATCTACTGCTGTAGCTCTTTGTAAGGCAACGGTTATTTAATGAGATCATAATATAGCTTTTCATTGAGTTTAATATTGTTTTCGTTACTTTCACATGTTAATGGACAATTGAGGGGAACAAGTAAAAGAGTAATACAAATACCTTTACTAATTTCATCTACCTTAGATTCATTGTTTACTATATTTGTTTTCTATCTGTCTGCATAATATGTAGATCTGTATGTTCAGAGCAGATTTAGCAAAACGTATTTTGATTAATTAACAGCTAAAAGTCCATAATGTTCTCTGCTTTCTGTCTGCAATAGGCCAAGAGTTGGCCCACTGCAGTGGTGGATATATTGACCAAGATCATACACGTGCTGTAGTTTATGACTAATACAGTCAAATACATACAAGTTAAAACCCCAAATATTTACAGAAATTGTCACAATCAAGACATTGATGACAATACAGAAACTGAAGGTAGAGTATAGCTCAGAGAGGTACATTTTATATGTGTGTGTTTGTGTAGGCTACGTTTTTTTTCTGATACCAGTCGAGTTATGGTACTAATTCAAAATTTAAGACAGTACTTTTAGATTCTAATGTTCACATTTGTAAATATTTTAAATTAATGAGTTATAGTTAATCTACATGTTTTTTCGAAGGTTACTGGCTGTTTGACTTTCGCACTCAAAGGTGTCCTTTCATCGACCCACTTGTGTGCGAGAAGATTCACCTGTAGCAAAAGCGCCTCACCTCTACCTGCTGTATCATAAACACTGAAGTCCCGCCCATATTGTTAAAGCTTATTTTCTATTGGACGGTGGAGTGGACGAGCGATTCCACTGTGGAGCACCTGGTAGTCAGTCATCAGCGGGACGAAAGCGTACGTACGTACAGTGAGCTGACAACACGGCAATGCGGACGAAGAAGGGCAAAAACGAGGGGAATAGTCCGGTTTATAGTAGCCCAGCCGGTCGGGGCTTTAGCTGGTGTTAAGGAAAAATTAAGCCAGGACTTCGTCTTCGAAACCTCCGACAAAAGGACCTTAGTTCGATTTGGAAGTAGCTTCGGAGCGGATATTTCCCTGCAAAACCCTGAACCACATCCGTATTCCCAGCCCCGGTCGTATGGAATCGTCTGCTCCAAGAATGATCGCTTGAATATTTTTATACTGTATCCTTTTCCCCCCCCATCACCGCTTCCCATTTTTACAGACTCGCTATGGTGGACTCCCCTACCATGAGGAAGACTTTTGTGGTCCCAGACATAAAATCATTGGATTTGTATGACTGCACTAAATCAAAAATATGCGCAAGTGTCGGATGGCTGCTGGCAAAGTCCTACGGCAGCACAGGTAGGTTTTAGTTCACACGGCAGGCCTGAATGTTATGCGTAAAGGTTGTGTTAAGACCATTTGTTGTCCAACAATGTGTTTATATTGTGTCTAACAGTGTAGCGAAAACCGGTATGCATGTAGGGGAACTGCAGTGTGTGTAGTTCAGCGATTTTCAGCACAAAGAGGCGCATATGAGCAGAGGAGCAATGCATCGTATGCGTTTTTGACACTGACACATGTCATTTGTTCTCACTCAATGGGTGGGCACATTTGGAGGTATGTGTGTCACAGAAACGGCCTCCTCCTGTAGGCCTTATCACGCTAGCCCATTCTGTCGCGTTTCCAGCCACCAGGCTTCAGTCAGAAATTGCAGGCTAGCTGCTGGGGATGTTTTTAATCCGGTTACACAGACAGGGCACACGGGGCGTATGTTTTTCCAGTATCTTTCTTTCTCCTAGTGATGGTGACAGCCCGCAGTACCCACAGTAAACGCTGGTTACTGCTTCATGTTATTTGAATCAAAAGCAGACCGTAGCTTATTGTGCGCTCAGAGAATAGACTACCAGTGCTCTTGTGCCTTATTATCAGGGGGTTTCTTTCCATGTCCTTAGTCAGCAAATTTCAAGAAGCAACTGGGAGAAGCTTTGTAGCGCAAAACGCACACCCACAACATAACCAAAACATGTTTTCTGTACTTAACATGTAGCCTATCATAAGAATTTGTTTTGTCTCATTTTCTTGAGGCATCTCGTCAGCTTTGACCCTGAGGTGATAGCATGGCTCTTTGTTTGAGCACTCACTGGTGAAGATTAGACCTTATGAAGCAGACATCCGATGAGCCTTGTAAAGAAAAAGCCTTGATTGCTTTATTTTTTCAAAAGTAGACTACACATAATGACGTAATGTGGTTATAAAAAAACAAAAGACAAACATATTACTATACTAATACATTCTTGGACCTTTTGATGTTACAGTGTATTTTTTTTTTTTTAAATACAGGCATTACTTATTTTATCCTGAAATAGGTGTGAGGAGAACTTCATTTAACTTTAGCAACATGAGTTGTTTGTTTCATAATTTCAGGCAGGTCCCAGGTTTAGGACTCTGGGCTGCAGCTCATGTGTACTCTGTTAAGCACCTCAACCACACCCTATGGTCAAAGTCACTCCATACCAAGCTGCAGGAATGTAAGGACAAACACTGTTATGATGTGGAGGTTTTCTCTTGATCGAGTTCAATAGCCCTGCTGATGGTAATTTTTTTGTAAAGCTGGGTGACATCATCTTGTCCCTTATTAGAAACCTAGCACATTAGGACAACACAGAGCCCAGCAGGAGCCAGACAGTCATCTGGTCATGAGCCTTTTTAGGTCAGTTAGTCTATAGATAACAATGGGTGGCATTTTTAATTCCAGTCTCTCCAAAAATGGAATTTGACATGGATAACAAAGTAGTGTTTACAGTGCATTTCATATTTAGTTAGATTATTTGCTAAAAAGCTAATGTTTAACTAATTAAGGAAACCAATAACCACTTATTGAGATAAAATTTAAAAAAAATCTAGAATAAAATCAGCATCAGCGGCAATGATATGGATGGACTGAAATATTTGTGTTTGCATAACAAATGTTTCAAGCATGGCAGCACAATTTAAACAATAAAGTTTCCTACAAGATAGTTTCACTTTTGCCACAAGCAAACCCCTACGGTTAAGTTCACTGTCTTCAGTCAAGATTTCAAGACTTCAGTCTTATAATGTGCAACACATTGTCTCAGTGGTCAGCGCTGTTTTTCACTTCCCAGTTAAAATGCTTTTTTACATGTTGAAATATTGGGCTGCCATGATGATTTCGCTGTCTCCTTTAACCAAGGAAACATGGACCTTGTGTTTTAACAAGGAAGGAGCCTGTAGGCTGTAACTCGTCATTCTAGTAATGGACAACTCACAGTAGCTACACAGTATCTTTTCAATACGCTCTGCTCTACCTAGGGACATTTGGCTATCAGCATTTATTTTTTAATATCCATCATTACTGGTGATTTGATTAGGTTGCCACGTCTTTACATAGAACTTTCTCCTATTTCATACCAAAATGGAAATTTTGTAATAGAAGACTTGTAGGGAAAATTGCCTGTGAGTGTTGATTTGAAAGGTAAATATCTAAAATATAATGTGTATTTTCTGAAACATGTTTAGAATGTGGCTAAAAAGCAATCCAACCCGTTCTCTAAGTAGTTTTCTTGTGGGTGTTAAGAGGTTAATGGACGAGATAAAATGTTGTTTTCCTTCCTGTATAGTACACTTTAACTATATCTATATTGTATATATGTATACATGCTTGCATACTAAATATACATGCGAGGGTGTTTAATGTATGAAAGTCTTGGGATCTTTTTTTTTTTTTTTTTAATGCATTGACTTATTATTTATGTATAATATTTTCCATGCAGGGTTTAAAAAAAAAAAAAAAGTTAGGCATGAATGTAATTAATTATTTACCCTTGAAGTTCTTGAAGCTGTCATGAGAAATGAGTTTCCAGATCTGAGTATGACTCAAGCTGGAATGGGACAAGAAACTTGATTTACCTGCTGAGGCTTAAGAAATACTTAATCTTATAGTGACAAGTCCAAGGGCATGACATTTATGCATTCTGTTATTCAGGTTTCCTTCTAATCATTGCCAACGTGAATTATCTGTGTTTGTTTTCCATATCTGAATAACAGGGAAACAGACTATGTCGCTGCTTAAATATTGTTTTTTATGTCCAACAATCTCTTGTTGGAGTCATCCTATGTTTTCTTTTCATAGCTATAAAACCAAACCACCTCACACTTTGACCCACTCTTACCATTACAGTAGCATATTACCTTCACATAGCTACAAAGTTGCTGGCCCATACTGAAATCCTGTTTGACTGATTACTCATCCTTTTCCAATCATTGTGACCATGGTGAGTCAGCAAGGGAGAAGGACCTGAGGAGGATGTTGGCTTGCTTTTAATGTTTACTTAAACGGTTGGGATTCCTGTTCACTATATGTTAGCCTTTCATGGCATTATACTGTTAAATGCCAAAACACCTCAAAATATTATTAAGACTTTCTCTCTTTAAAATGTACTTCGCTGTACGCTTGCCATTTAATGCAGTTTAAGCTTGTGCTATAGCAAGGTGTTGCCCATGTGATAGGATATACAGGCCTGGTAGAGGGAGCTACTGGTGATGATGTGGTGCTTGATGTATAGTGCAGAAAGTACCCTTTTTACAATAGTGATCAAATAGTACAGTATTATTTAAGAAAGGGTTAATGATAAGATCTTTGTTGTAGATGGCAATAATAAATAATAAAGCTCAGATAAGGTAGTGGCATTAGCATTTTACACAGAACGAGGGGTCACGTGTGGGGTGGAATGCTACCACGGCCCCTCTCACCACTGCTTGGTTTTGGGGCAGCAAAACAGTACCTGCTTTGTTCTAAAAATGAGCGCATATAATCGCCTGTTTGATTCTTCACCACATGATGAAGATGTTATTGTATAATTTTCAATGAAAGATTTAAAAGTTAAAACCGCTTTCATTATTATAACACATATAATGCTGAGTTAAGATACAGGAATTGTAATTATGATTGGCTTTCATTTACTGCCTAAAGATTACATGGAGAAATTTTTAAAATAAATGTCTCTTAGAGTTCCAGAAAGGCTCCCATGAGAAACCTGGACGTTTAGATAGTCATATCCAGCAGGTTGACATTCATTGTGCTAAAGCTTACACCCCAGTGTAAAGTGACAATTGGTGGATTGTGGATTTCTTCGCTTGGTTTAAATCAGTTTCGATTTCCACCTAGCAAGTGAGGTGGAGAGTTTGTATTGTTCGGTGTGTGATTACTGTAGGACAAGTGAGCATGGCTGTGAAATGACCAGCATGCTAGCTCAAATAGTCAGTGAGGTAGAGGGACATGTGGTTCCTGTTATCAGCAGGCTATCAAACGATACAGGTCAGTACAGAAGATATCTAACACAGCTGAACTGACTTTCAACCACATTAGCAAGTTCTATACATCTTACTGCATGTTTTAATAGCTTGGTCTGATTTACTTAAGAAAAAATAAATACTCGTCACTAAAATAGTGCTCTGATCTTTAAGTTTGTAACACTGTTTTCATTGTATTCTTTAGTCCCAGGTTGGTATCTAAGACATTTGGGTTAACAAAAGCACAGACCCGCTGAAGAATCGCAGTCAAAATCACAAATTGCTTGACTGGCTCTTCCTAACAAGCGTTCCTCTAGCTTACCGTCTATGATGATGTGTTTAGAAGCTTTTCGCACATTTGACTTTTACCTTTTTACTCAAACCAGTAGATAAGCTTTGACCCCATGAACTATAAAAGTGACAGAGGTAGTTGCTCCTGCTTATGCAAACAAAACAAGCACATGCTTTTAATCTAAATATTCCCCTGGCAGGGCATTGATGAATATAATTGCGGCATCACAATGCAAGGCTTGGTTACAAGTATTCCAGTTCGTCATGCTTTTTGTTACCTTGTATTACTTTTAGTTTTTAAATCGGGAGTGTGCTTTACTAAATAATTGTTGCTATTTTTGCTGTGCATGTGCATAGTTTTGGGGACCTGTATAACAATTTGAAGCCTCAGTTTTCTAGCCACTTTGTTTCTGATATGTGTCACACAAAGTGATCATTCATGGACAGACTGTGTCATAGGGAAATCATTCTTTTATCGATCTTTCCAATCTCACTCAGTTGTGGCATTTGCATCCTACTTTGCCTTCTGGGCTAATTTTTTTCTGGTTTACCTTTTTGTCTTTTACACATTACAGTGGAATTTTTTTTCTTTTACATATACAATGCACCTATGTGACCCAAGATGATTTGTTTTTACAGCACTAAAGTAGGCACTCCAGTTTTGGCACCTGAGAGTATTTACAACAGCATGAACCATGTGGCATGACTGATCATATTGTGTGGCAACCTATAGTCATCATAGGGTGAGACAAAGGGAACAGGGCATTGATTAAAGGAGGCGGCTTTTGTTTCGACAGCTGATGTCAAGGGATCCATTACATGATTATATAATGATACAGCAGTTTAGTGACACCTCCCTTGTAATAATCCCTTTGTTCTTCTGTTATATATAGTCTAAGGCTCTCAAACACACACACAAACACACGTTTTTCCTTTCTTTTTGCAGACATACTGCTTGCGTTTAAGCAAGTCAACTTTTTTGTCCAAGGGCCTTTGAAACGGCAAGTCACATGTTTGTTTATGGTTGCACACAGAAACTGGCTGTTAGGTTTGCTGCAGAGAAACCAGTTTCAAAGGGTGTGTGTCAAGTTTGTGTTTTTAGGGTAAACTTATAAAAGACAGATCATGATAACAAAGTCATTTGTGCACTAGTGTTGAAGGCTCAGATTTTTGTGTTTTTTGCTGTTGTCATCATATTTAGTCTTTATTTTCACATTGGGTGAGAGGGTATAGCCGGTGGGTTTTATGGGCAGCACAGTGGTCGTGTGGTTAGCACTGTCGCAAAAAAAGATCCCTGGTTTGAACCCTGGTTGGGGCCTTTCTGTGGGGAGTTTACATGTTTGTTCTCCTTGTGCCTGCGTGGGTCTCCTCTGGGTACTCTGGCTTCCTACCAAAATCCAAACATGTACATGTTGGGTTAATTGGTTATTCTAAATTGGACTGGGATAAGAGGGAGATAAAGTGCTTAAAGTGTATAGAATAATACACTTTATGAGTGCATGCTTAAATGTAGCTTGTGGTTAAAGTGTTTTGAGTGGTCAGTAAGGGTAGAAAAGCAGTATATAAATGTGACTACATTCTTATCTAGTGATGGCTATCTTGTGTGCTGAGCAAGGTACATCCAGGGTCCATTGTGGTATTAAATTTGATGCTAATTTTGGTAAGTGAAAAACAAACAGAACAAAATGTTGACGCGACTGAATGTCTGTGAAGGTTCTCAGTCATCCAGGTCATCGTAGTCAAAGGAGCTTGCAAAGAAAAGTGTCTGGACTTCTTTAAGTTGCTTGTTGCTGATAAGGTGGGGCCAGGCTTCACAATGAGCTCACCCAAAACTCTGGCTGATTGGGACCCACACCCAGTTTCACACCTTGGCTCAGGCGATTAGAGGATCATCAGGGGGTCCTTTTGTCCCTCTTTGGGGGGAATACTCCCACTGAGTTTAAATCTGGGACTCTCCACCATTTGACCTTAGAACTGAAGAAGCTTCTCGGATGAGAGGTGAAACGTCTTCAAGCAACTTAAAGAAGTCCAGACGCTTTTCTTTGCAAGCTCCTTTGAAGTGACTGAATGTTGAACAAGACAAAACAATATCCCCGTACACTTGTTGTGAACATAAACATTGTCTATACACATACTTTAAACATGTTTATTCCTGGTTTATAGTTGTACAAGGCAAATCACATGGACATCTCGCTTTGGACTTTATAGACTGAAAAATAGATGTAGTTTCTAGTTTTAAAAACCGTAAAACCAGTGCAGAAATGCCTCAAACCTGCATTATTTAATATAGTACCATTACCAGGAAACACTTGACCCCTGTTTCAATCTAGGGGGTCAATGTTGACATTGTGGATGACTATAAATACCTTGGAGTACACATTGACAATAAACTGGACTGGGCTAAAAACACCACAGCACTTTACAGGAAGGGCCAAAATCATCTCTATTTTTTGAGGTGACTGAGGTCCTTCAACATCTGCTGGACAATGCTAAGGATTTTCTACGAGTCTGTTGGGGCCAGTGCGATCCTCTACACCGTTGCAAGCTGAGGGTCACAGATTCCAACAGACTCAATAAACTGATACGTATGGCCAGTAACGTTGTGGGGATGGAGCTGGACTCCCTTAAGGTGGTATATCAATAAAGGGGATTAATAAAGTATTCTGATTCCTCATGGGGTAACAAATTGAAGTCAGTTTGTAAAGAAGTCTCTCATAGTCTTCTTTACCTCCCTTGCTTGTAAACCTCAGTAAACTCATTCCTGATAAGATCATAGGCTTAAATGTTAGTGTATGGTTTACTGTGTGACTGACATGTCACTAGCACACTTTGCCCCTTGGTTTCACTGTTAGATCTGTTATGTCTGGTCTGGTATAGTTGTGTATGCTCTGGCAATACTGTTGCATACATGTCTGTAATAGAACCACAACTAGAAACTTTTTTTTTTTTTTATTATTAACCATTTGTGTCTTTTTTTCCTCTCTCTGTAGAAAATGTCCCTGCAGAGCTGCGTGACCCTTTCTACTGTGACCAGTATGAACAGGAGCACCTTAAACCGCCAGTAACACACCTCCTGCAGTCATCAGAGCTCTACTGTCGCACCTACAACATATTACTGGGTAGTACTGCAACTGAGGCTCAGCCAAAAGATAACGCCACCCTGCTGCAGCTTCTAACTCAGAGAGGCGTCGTTGCCAAAGACCAGGACACAACAGTGACTGATGCTGACCTCCGACATAAACCCATCAAAATGGTAAAATGATGAAACTGTCTGGGTGATGGGGAGGGTGAAATGCTTTTGTCTATTATCCTTGGGATTCTTCTCGTTAGACCAGATTCTCTGCTATGCAGAACTCTGTAGGAAAGCAAATAGGTTCAAGTTCGCTTGGTTTCTGATATAGGGCCATGTTTATGCTTTGATTCTAGGGATTAAAGGGCATCAAAAAGACCCCCTACTCATTCAGCCCTTCCCCCACTCCCCAAGCTCATCCCAGAGGATGAGTGGATCCAGCTGCTAGGACAAGAGCAGTCATGGTCACATGAGGAATAACCACTTTACTTTAAGGGTGTGTGTGTGAGAGAGATGATCTAGATACAATAGATGGTTCAGATCAGAATAATAGCTTAACAATTTTGATGAAACATTAGCTGTTGTGTGTTAAGAGAATTCTCTGGGTTGGCTGTGTGAGTCAAATCAAGAGAAACAGGTTTATCCTCTTAGCTCTTGACAATAGATTTCCTTCTCGCTTTCTTTCTTCCTGCTTGCTTAGTTCTTGTTCAAACATAATATAGTCATGTGTTCTTCAATGTGGATAAAAAAAACTGCAGCTGGCTAATATGTTTTTGCTAAACTACAGGCTGAAATAAAGGGAAATCTTTTTATTTAAGGTAATATGCATTTCTTTTCTGCCCCCAGCTGGCACAACAACTTTCAAATTTAAAGTAGTCTTCCCTTTTTACAGATTACTATCCTTCTCATGGAATGGTATACAATGAAAATTCCCCAGCCATCTTGGTTTACGTACACAAAGGCTGTTTTTGAAAGCTAAGCAGGGACTCTCCAAGGATTAGTAAGGAAAATGGTGTTATGTTAGGTGAATGCTGGTTGCTTCACTGTTCCTGTTTGCTGGCCAAAGGAGCAGGTACTTCCCTGCTGATGGCACAGTTGTAATGAGAACCTCAGGTTTTTGCTTGAAATGGGCTTATGCATTGTTTTGTTTTGTTTTTCTCAGCAATACTGCTGAGAATTTGAGTCCTCATTAAGAGTAGAACCTGATAAAAATCCAAATTTAGATGTCATATTGTTGAACAGATGCACCTATAAATCTGACCCAATTAATGTGAATGCTGCCTTTTTCTTGACTTGGAGCGAGAGAGTGTTTTTTTAAAGATAAAAGATACAAAGCAAGATGAATAATGGTAAAAACAGAACCATCCTCTAAAGGGGCTTTGTTAGTTTATTTTTACATAGTATTTTTCCTCTGGTGAAAGCTTTAACGAAATAAAAGGAAGAATAAATAGTGTCACATGCACCTTCACTTGTACCAACTCTGAGATCACATAGTTGTTATATCAGATTAGTGAAGGACTTTCTTTTATAAACATGCTTGCTCTTTGCAGGTTTTCTGACATCACCTGCAACAATATCAGTACCCTGATCTGACATCACACATTCTGATGATTATGATGATAATTTAATGTCAAAAATCTTAAAATTCAATTTTTTTCCACTTGTAATCACTGTAATAATGGCTACGGTTATGCTTTCTACTGGGATTATTAAATCCAGTAATAACTGCCTAATGAGACATGCCTCTTTCATGTATCATGTTGCTGTAGTTTCTGAGCATACAAATGTCTCAGCTTGCCTGCCATGTAACTTAGCTCTGAATGAGGTTTCCAGGTCAGGAAATGGTACCTCTTAACTGTAAATCCTAAATTTGTTATTTGGCTGTTACTGTTAATGCTGCATTTGCTGTTTTGCTCCTTTAGTGTATGAGCTTTCCAGTAGCTGTTTGGCTTCTCTTTGGGCTTGTCGCCACTGACTGGCACTGCAGCTACAGTGTGGCAAGCAATGAAAGTGGGTCATGCTGCAGCAATAGAAGGATGGGGCATCATTGTGGGTCTTGGCCAGTAAACGGCTTTGCAGCAGCAATCTGCTGCAGGACTGCTGTATATTAAAGCTTCACATATTTGAGTCAGACAAGGTAGATAACATGCTACATGCATTTAAAAGCATGTAGAGTCATGCTTGTAGTTGACTGCACACTGGTGCCTGTTATTCTGCAAAGCCATCAACTGTTAATGACTTTTTACACTGTTATTGGTAAATCGCACAACTTCATATTATTGCTGCTGTTAGCTAATCATTGTGTTTGCTAATCGTGTAAATCCAGCGTTGCAGGTTCATCATAAGTCGTAAGGACACATTGGGTGCTGGCTGGAGTTCATGCATCAGGACTGGAGTAGAATGCCACTGACCTAATCAAAGTAGGGCAAAAAAGCTAACAGATGGTTAAAGATAAAAGCTAACCTAATGCATACAGAACTGTAAGTTATCAATTATTCTCTCATCCCATTTTAAATCCATAGACATTAATATGGAGTTGGAACCATTTGCAGCTATAATAAGTTTCACTATTCTAGAAAGGTTTCTACAAGATTTTGAGTTGTTTGTGAGAATATTCAGAGGAGCATTTGTGAGCTCAGACACTGCTGTTGGGTGAGGGAGTCTGGCCAATGTTCTAATTCATCCCAAAGGTGTTTGAGGTTGAGGTCTGTACGGCCCAGTCAAGTTATTCAACAACAAACTCATCTGGCCATGCCTTTATGGACTTTGCTTTGTATACTGGCAACAGTCATGCTGGAATATAAAGGGGCCTTTCCCAAACTGTTCTCAAGAAGTTGGAAAAATTGTCCAACATGTTTTGGTAACTGAAGCATTAGATTTCCCTTCACTGCTCCAGAGTCCAGTGGTGAGATAGTATTAATGTGTCTATGTTAGATGGAGGAATCGTAACACAAAAAAACCTACTTAGAATTCCTTGGAATTGGGTTCAAATCCTGCAGCCGCCTCCACCCCATTACTTGTGTCCTATGTGTAATGAATTATATGTCCTACTACTAACTGTTCTTCTGGTCCACTACTTCTGATGGTTGCCCAGCCCCCATCACTCCTCAGATTGGGGATAAAGATCTTTGAAGATTAGAGATAATCTGCCATGCAGACTGAGTGCAATCATCCACTATCGCATGACATGCCAGAGATGACCACTGACTCACCAGGCACCTAACCTACCTCACAATATGAAACATATTGGTTAAATTTGCTTCTGTAACAATAGATTCTAATTCTAATCTATATGTAATATTACTATAGATACTGTGTCGATTCCCACAGCGCTAAAGTAAGTCATGTAGCTATAATGCTGCTAAACCTCTTCATGGTCTCCTGTTGGTTTTGGATGGCAGTGACACTTTGTCTTAAATCATAGTGCTGTGCTGGCAGGTTTTCTGGTCAAGTGAGCATCATTCAGGAGCTTAACTGAAATTAGATGTGGCAGACTATCTGAAACACTAACCATCATCTTGCACATTTATTCTGCTTTGGGCTTCTGTTGAATGATAACTAATGTGTTGTAATGAAACTTGTTTACAGTATACAAAATTACTTTTATGCAGCTTTTCTACACTTGTCTTTACTTGCTTAGGTATACAGTTCATATACATATGGATGTTCATACTATAACCCCTTTCTAAAATCCCTTTCTGGGCCCCAGCCCTCCCTGATCCCCTATTTTTCTCCCCATCAGGTGGCACCAAGCAGGGTAGGGAATGGGGTTAAGTCATATTTCAGACGTAATCAGATTTTTCCCTCATCATAATCTCACATAATGCTTAACAAGATGCCTTTTGCATTCTTTGTTTATCTGAGTTACATTTATAGACATGCAAACAGAGTTTCCAAATAATCCCATAAAATTCCATGTTGATTGGGTTAATTTGTGGCCTATTAATTTTTTGTCTGTGTGTCACATTGGTTTAAGGGGCATGGATGTTTTTTGTTTTTTGTTTTTTAAGAGCTAGGAGCTAGGACTAAGCCAGGAGCAGAGAGCAGTGCTGCAGTCAGGCTTGTACTGAGATGCATTATGGGTCAGCTGGTTGGTTGTTATGGTGATCTGGCAGGCTCTGTGCTGTGTGTTTGAGTTGCTCCTCTCATTAGGGAGACTTGTGATTTAGCTTAGTGAGCTCTCCTGGGTGTGCAATGGGAAATCCACTAGCAGCACCCCCTCCTTTATCTCCTTTCATTCTCCCATTTTTTCCATGATTTACCCTCTGAATAATTACTGTAGGCATAACATCGGAGTCAGCCACTCTCAATAGTTCTGTCATGCATTTGTTCTTTTTCTCTCAGTCATCTTCTTTTCACACTGTGGCAATAGCTCCAACCTATGATTACACACTTTGCGGCTAAAAGCAAAAATGTTATATCTTTTTGCTTTCATGGCAGAGCATAGTTACTGGCAAAATTTACTGGTTGTTAGGAAAATACAAGTGAACCATTGCTTATCAATATTCCAATATTTTATGATTAAAAAATGTATAATATGTAATCTTACATGATGATGATGATGATAATATAATTGATGTTTAACGCAGTGGACATTTTTATGTTTGGCTCACATTGACTCATTCATACAAAAATAAATAAATTACATTTTCTAAGGATCTGTATTTTGAACTACAGAATCCTGTAAAACCATGTTAATATAATCAATTTATTTCCAATTCTTACAATGTTGGAATGATCAGTACTAAGTAATTATATTCTGAATCCCTATTGGTTTTGGTTTTTGTAGGAACATTTATTGCTTTGATGTTTCAGCCCTGCAGTCCCTGTATTAGGCAGGACACACAGAAGCAGTAACACTAGTGCTGGCAACAGTGGTTGGCAAGCAGGTCACTCAGGGCCACACTGCTCACAGAAACAGACTACAGCACATCCAGAGAGCTTTGACCAATATTATCTGGCAAGCTTTTGCTGGCATACCCCACCCAGCCTGCCTGCCCAGGCACTGTATGTGTTCAGGTCAGCACTTTACATCAGGGATCAGTACACAGATATGCACACAGCTGGACTGCCCCTGCCCCCCATCTGGGGCTACACAAGAGTTAAGAGGAAAAGAATCTCTGAAGTTGTAAGTAGTGAAAGGCGGCAGGCGCTGATTTGCACATATTAAGCTCCAAATTGTTGACAAGATTTTGAAGGAATGGCCCCACAGTATGTTTTAATCGGCCTTTTGCCTCTCTGCTAGCCTGACTTAATTATTGTAACAAGCCTGTTATTGCAGTTACCTATTAATGTATTAATGGAGAGATTGGCACCCAACTGTACTGTTGAAAGGCAATTTAAAAGGATTTAGATAAACAAGATAAAAAAAGGTTCATACATGTTTTCAATTTGTTTACAAGTGTTTAGCTTATTGTATATGAGAAGCTAGCAGAAAGAGAGTGCTGCTGGCATTACTCACTCAGATGACGAGAAAGGGCAAGAGAAAGGTGGCCACAGTGGCACATTCTAAAACTGAACAAATTTATTAGCAATTTGTATAAACAAAGTAGAACTAATATTCTGAACAATTATGAATATAGTGGGAATTGCAAAAATTGTTCAACTATTATAATTTGCAGCAGTAACAAGGTTGACTATAAGATAGTGTTGTACTCTTTGCTTTGCTGTGTTTGTACCCTACAGTACAAACAGAGCACAACGTCTAATAAGTTAACAGGTTTATAGAGTTAAAGGTTTCACTCTAGCTGAGCTGATAATGTTACTGGAACATTTTAACAGGCTTTGCCTGTAAGTTCTGTCTTACAGGCAAAGTTGTTAATGTGTTTTATCTATTAACCAGAGCTCTGTAATGGTCTTGTCTAAGTAGGTAACTTCAAATTGTGATTGTTAAATACATTTAAGTACGTTTTCTTTCTTCTTCTTCTTTTTTGCTTGATTGTATTTGAGTGGGGAAAATCAAGGTTTTATAACCATTTTTTGTGTCAAAAATACATTCGGTCACAAGCACCTGTTTCTTAAAGAGAATGGTGTTCTTTGTTACGCTTCCTGGTGATCTAGTTACAACACATCATTTTGTCCTGCAGTCTCTCACACATGAGTCATACAGAACTATTTCACTGTGCAAAAGAGAAAGGGAAATGGCTCAAAGAAGGCAAATAAAGGGAAAGCAGGTAAGGAATGGCAATCTTGCAGACCATGTGTTCACCTGCTACAGGTCCAGTGCCTCTTTAATGATTTAATGAGGGTATAAACATGAGTCCAAAGGTCTTCCACATCTACTGATGTGTGTGTGCTTACTTGTTGAGAGCTGTTGTTAGTTTCTGCTGACTCATAACTGGCTTCTAGTGACCTCTGGAGGGTGTTTCATGTAAATACTGGTAGTGGTGCATTGTATTTTGCTGTAAGGACCATGCTAGAAAAGGATCCAACATTACTGTCTTAACTGTAATTGATTGATGCTGCCCAGGGTCATTGCTCTTCACTTCCTTTTTTTTTTTTCTCCTTCCCATGTGATTTGGTGAAGAGTGCTCATCTGGCAGTGATGGATGCTTTGATGGCTGTGGGAGCCATGGAGACAGTGACTGCGGTGAAGACATGTAGTTCTGCTGAGCTCCTGGGAAAAGCAGCCAGCTGGGAAGATGCTCTGCTTCACTGGGTTAATGAGGTAAGGAACAGGCCAAAGAAAACAATGTCTTTTTCAGAAAAACACCTAATTTTCTTTCAGAAGATGTTCTTGGTTCAACATTTGTATGAGCACTAAGTTAGTAAATTAACTGGTGACTAATGAACTGTAATTCTCTAAACTTTGTTTTTATATGCTTGTTTCTGACTTTGTGAACACACGGCACAAAAGAATGTGGAAATGATTTTCTCTTGTTATTATGCTATTAGTTGAACCAGAATCTGAGAGAACGTACTGAAGGAGCCCAGAATGACTTGTCTGAGACCATTACAGACCCCCAACCTGTTCAACCATCAGTGAGTACTGCATTAAATATTCAGTGTATTGTCACTGTTATTGTATTGTTATTTCTATCCAGAAATGCGTGATATTCTTGATGGGATTATGCAGTCAGGGCAGGTCTGTTTCGTTTAGGTTTTTTGGGGGAACAGGGTGTATATAAATGAGTATATACATGGGTGTAGTCAGCAATTTTTGCAATTTTAATGACGTCAGTTGCTGTTGCAAATCAGGTGGAGTCAGGTGTAGCTTGGCACAATATTCTAGACAGGGTTTTGTGGCACTAATCCAGAATTATCAGTTGGCGTGGCTCAGCTTCTATAATGAACAATTACGTGTGTTCTGCTCAAACCTTTAAGTTGCAGTGGGTGAAAGTGAAACGGGTATCTAAGAAATGGAAGGAAACTTTTTTGTTTTACACAAAAAATGCACAACACAGGAAAATGTCTATTTGTGACAGACAAATGTTATAAAATCATAGAAATAATATATTGCCAGTGTGCAAACAGTGTAGGTTCCATAATAAAAAATACATTTGAATTTTGATAGATTAAATTCAGTGGTTTGCCTCATCTTCTGCATATTTGATAAGAGCTTTTTGTTCAATAAAAAAAAGTTTACATGAAAAATATCATGCTTTGTCCAGTCAGAACAAAACCTTCCAGCTGCTACATTAGTATTCAGAAACTTTCACCCTGTTTTGGAGACAAACGAAATTATTATAAAAGAAGCTAATTTCTGTTTTTGCTTCCTATTTCTACTTCCTTACTCTATCAATCCTAACAAGTCTTGGTTGATATATTAAAACAAGGACAAGGTGGGAATTGCTTTTTCAAGATGGCCGTCTTGCCATTTCGTGTAAATAAAGTAGTCACAACCCTTTGTTTTTCTAGTTCTTCCACTCTTCGCTTAATATGTCTCCCTGTACTCCTGTTCTCCATTTCCTTCTATTTCCTGTCTCTCCCCCGCCCCAATCTGACAGTGTCCTACTCGCTGGTACTGGAAACTTGTTCCTGTAAGTTCCCTCCTTTCCTCTGCTTCCTCCCCTTGTCCCTCCATCCTTCCAGTGTCTTCATCAAATTTATCAGGAAATATCTGATGGTCAGGTTTGTTTGTTTCTTCCCCAAATGTGATGTGGGAATGCATTGTGCATCACATCCTAGTAAGCATTAAATTGCACTTAACAGCATAAGTGTGATAGATTTGGGCTGTGACAATAGCTCTAAAGACATTGTTTGTGGAGACGTGTGGTGCATGAATAGCAGTCTTTTTTTTTTCTTTTTTCTTTTTTTAACTGATCATCTGAAACTGCCATGTTCAAGTTTTTCTCAAGTGTGGGGCAAAGATGTCTGTATGTGTTTATGAGAGTAACAGAAAGGCTTCTAATCCACTGGTTCACTGCCACAGTGGGCTGTTTTGTCTGTATACTATAGCTGTACCTGAAACATTTTCTCTCTTTCTGAGATCTAATCTCTTTCTTTCATTCTGTCTCCTGAGACCTTCACTTGACCCACTTTTTCTGAAGAAAAAAACCCTTTCTTTCTGCTCCAGTTCAGTCACTCTCTCTGCATCTTCAGTTTGTTCACATTTGCGCTCTCCTTTTCACATCGGTTTAGCATGACCTTTCTTTATTTCATTTGTTGCTTTTAATTTTGTAATCACTTTTTATTATTGTGTATCACTGTGTGTCTGCTTAGGAGCATTTACCTATGTTTGATAAACTTGATGGTTGATGGCATGAACTAATATGTGAAATTTATAAAATTACATTCAACATTGTGTGTGATTTGTCTTTTTTCTTTCTCTCTCTTTTTTTTTTTTTTTTAGCTCCGCTATAGGAAGGATAAAATTCAGTCCAAACTAAAGCCAGTTTTTCCAGTAGTGAATGAAGTTAAAGACCTGTCCAGTGGATGTGCTGTTGCTGCCGTCATACATTACTATTGCCCCGGCCTTCTGAGACTTGAAGGTACCAACAAACATTCTAACAGAATGCTGCAAAAAATGACCTTTAGAACCTGAGACATTTGTGAAAATTAAATTTTTTTTCTCATCTCTCTGTTAGATGTTTGTATGAAGGATTCCATGTCTGTAGCAGATAGCTTGTACAACCTGCAATTCATCCGTGAATTTTGTGACAGCTGCCTAAAGAGCTGCTGTCACTTGGCACTGGAGGACATGTTATATACACCACAGGAACTTCAGGTACTTTCAGTCTGGATCACTGATGAACAAAAAATATATTCACACAAATACTGTGTTATCTTTTGAGTGCTTGATTTATTTTCTGGGATTTAGATGAACTTGCTGAGCTTCCTGGCAGAACTGCTTAGCTGGTTTGAAGTACAAAGACCAGAATTTGTGCAGCCAATAGATATGTTAAGTAAGTCTCACTGATTTGCGGTCCTTTCTAAATATTGTTTAACACGAACATATATTTCATATATATCATATATAATTGATATATTTTAAAAAGTCTGTTTGTGGCTTTTCTTTTGTCAGGCGAATCTACACCAGTAACACCAAGCAGCTTGAGTGATAACAGGTACAGAAGCTTTCTGGGTGTGATTTTGCTGTTGTAGTAGACTAAGGGCAACGTATTATTTAGACAATACCGTCATTTAAGTGAAGTATTTGTGCTTTGCAGTACCTCCCCCTCTATATTCAAGAAGCCTTTCCTCCCAATTTCCTCTTCTGCATCAGGTAAGATGAAGACTATGGTCAGCCATCATTACATTTAGCTACATAAGCATTTTACAGTGTGGTTCACTTATTTCCTTCAATCCATGTTTGTCTTTTAGTTGTGTCTTGTGCTGTTTGATAGTCTTGTTTTCTTATTTGGATAGACATTCGAAACTTTTTGTAAATGTTTTCCCTTTAATTTCTGTGTTCCATTTTTTTTTTGCATCCCGGTGTTGTTTGCATGCCTTTACATGTCTGTGTATGTCCCATTGTACTCAGGATCTTTGACTCAGTCTACCTCAATGTCTCATATAGAAGGAGCTGGAAAGACATGGAGCAAGAAACCTCTGAGGTAGGACTAGCATATTCTGGACTGATTTAAGCATTTTATTTTATTTTATTTTTTTTTAATGTGCTCATGCTTGTGTTTTCTTTTTTGTTTTGTTTGTTGTTGGGTTTTGTGTTTTTTTTTTTTTTTTTTTTTTTTTTTTTAAGCCGGCCATTGTCAGCAGTATCCTTCAGCATTCCTTTTGGGCTAGACAGCGACGTAGACATTGTGATGGGCAACCCTGTAATAACCCGCTCTGTGAGCTCAGATCAGCTGAACCCAGCTGGTCAAAATATGGCAAGGGTGCCCTACACCCCTCCCGAAGACCTCAGTCATTTGCTTAGCAAACCTTCAGGACCTAATGGTCCACAGAGAGCATCCTGGGCCACCCAGACTCCCACTGTTCCTAAGTTGGCAGAGGAGAATGACCTCGGGACAAGTGAAACAGGAGAGCTGCCTACAATTGAAGAGGCTCTTCAGATTATTCACAATGAAAGCAAAATGGAGCCTCGTTTACACCCTGATGGTGCTCCTGACGGCTTCTACCTCCACTCTCCTGATGATCCTGCTAGTTCTCGCTATAATGGCAATTTACCACCAATCAGCTCCTCTGCACCAACCCGCTCAGGAATGATGTATCGGCCAACAGGAGAGTCCAGTGAATCCACTCGCACTAGAAACACTTCTGAATGTTCACGAGATGATGACTCAGTTTTGAGAGACGGTAGTGTGGATTCAGATGCATCAGAAGACATGCCTAAAGCTCAGTCCACTCCATCAACACCCGGTGCTGCAGGTGGTGCTGCTATTAGAGCTGGTAAGGAGGTTCCTGACAGTGGTGTGAAGATGACCAGTTTTGTAGAACGGAAAAAGAAACAGATTACTGATTCTCCAAAATCTAGTGATTCTCCTCAGATGACATCATGGGCACAGAAGTCTGAAGAAAGCCCCAGCAAGAGCCCACAGCTGAATAATGAGATGTCGGAGTTGGGGGTTCGGCTTGAAGAAAAGCGCAAAGCCATCGAAGCTCAGAAGAAACGCATTGAGGCCATTTTTGCAAAGCATAGGCAGAGACTAGGAAAGAGTGCCTTTCTGCAATTAAAGAAAGAGCACCGTGAGGGGAAAGGAGAAGATGGCCAGGTCAGTACCTCATTCACAGAAGAAGACCTCTCTCGCTTGACACTTGAAGAGCGGCTAGCACGAATCGAATTGGAAGATCAACAGGAACAAGATGAAGAGCACCCCACAGTGGAAGATGAGGGTAATGTTAAAAGAGGACTTGCGCTCAACAAGCAGGTCAAAGAGAAGGCAGGTACACCAGGAGAGAAGCACCATGCGACACCTACTGACAAAGTGGTTGCTCCTTTAGGGGACTATAACAACGCAGTGTCCAAGCTAACTGCAGCTCTTAGCTCCCTGCAAAGTGACATGCAACGACTGACTGAGCAGCAAAATCAGCTAATGAAGAAAAAACCGTCACCTTCCAATAACAAGTCTTGGGTTATTCCAACCAGCCCTAAAACCTCCACCTCAGCCCCTCCTCCTGCACGCCTGTCACGAGAAACCACTCGAGATTTAAATTCGGCCTCCTCTTCTCCGTCTCCATCACGCAAAATCACAAACCACACCACTTCTCCTAAATCTCCTCATGTACATCGAAGAGCCCAGTCTGTACCTCCTAAAAGCCCAAAACACAGTCGTCCATCAGACACTAAAGTCCCCTCCCTGTCGAGGGTTCTTACCCCACCTACAAATGTAGACCGCATCCCCCATCTTCGTCGTGTAAATCCCTGGCAATCTCAAGTACAGACTTCATCCTCATTCTCCATTGGTGACTCCGGTAGCCTAGATGAGCTGCGCTCATTAGGACCAACTCCTGTGCCAACAACTACACTGACCCCAATACCAGCTTCTACCCCAACTCCAGGTCCTGGTGCAGATGACGGCCTGTCAGAAGTAGGCTCCAATGATGGACAAAGTATATTTAGTATGGACCTTGAGGTCGGGTCCAATCATGGTCCATTGACTAGAAAGGAAGGCGTTGCAGGAGGGGGCTACAGCTCTGGTGCCCCATCTGAATGTTCTTTTGAGAGTGATGCACCTGCAGGGATGTTGAATGGCAAACGCAGTAGCCTGATAGAGATCTCACTGTCTGCCTTGGGAGGAGATGATGAGGAGGATGACCAAGTGCCTGATGCTCTCTCTGACTCAATGAGTGACCTCACAGAGGCAGAGAATAAAGCAGCAGTTGGTTTCTTTTTCAAGGTTGGTGGCTGACACATATTTTCACAGTATATATCTGCATAGAAAGTGTGCTATAATTGGTGTGCATTCATCCCTTTTTATTATTAGGATGACAAAGATCGACCGGAGGATGAAATGGCTCAGCGAAAAGCAGCTTTTCTTGAAAAACAGCAGAAGAGAACAGAAGAGATGAAAAGACGAAAACTTGAGCAGGAAAAAGAAAAAGAATCAAAGTGAGACCAGTTTCTGAATAGCTTTAATTTAATCTTTTTTTTTTTATTTTAAGCAGCCAAAGGGTGCACATAATTTGGATTTAATAATTTATTGTTCTGTGTTTTATGACTCGAATTGTTGCTATCATTAATCCCATAATTCAGTCTTGTTGCATTTCATAATGTGGCGTTACACATTAAAGGTCTTACACTTCATTTTTAGCAAGCCCCAGTGGATGATCATTGAAGGCTGGGGCAGTAAAAATGAGGACAGACCACAGACCCCAGGCACTCCTCCCAAAACCCCACCAGCAGAAGGCACTCCTCAACGTAGAGGAGACTTCACTAAGCAGGAATATGAGAGGAGACAGCAATTGAAGATCATGGAAGACTTGGACAAGGTTCTGAAGCAGAAACCCACTACAGTGCGTGGTGTCAAGAAGCAGAGACCTAAGACTATGTTCAGAGATGACTCTGTGCTCTCTCAGAGTCCTGTCAAAGGTTTCATGGGTAAGTACTTCTGACTTTAACCAGTAAAATTCCCGGCTTTTGTATTCTCTCTTCCTATGCTCACATGTACAATATTTCCTACTTGTAGGCACTAAGCTCAACAAGGTATACTCCCATTCATCCATGAACCTGTCCTCCATGGCTAATGACCCTGGCGGTATGACCGTCAGGAAGTCACCCAGGTAACCTGCAAATTGATAATGACTTGATGTATTTTCTTTTTTTAAATGGTTAAAAAGTGGGAAGCACAGAATTTAGCCTGAAACATTGAAATTTAGCCTGTGTTTAAAGTCTCCACTCCAAACTATATACCAGTTTTTAAATTGTGTTGATAGGCCAAGTAAAAAAAAAAAGCGTTTTTTGTTTTGTTTGTTTTCTTCTGAATACTACCGTCACATTTAGTGCGAGAAGAAAACCGCAATCGAAAAATCATATTGCAGCACGTGACATTAGGTTGTTAAGGAAGAGGAGAAAGTTTTAGGAGCGATGGTAGCGAGTGAGCAAGAGAGAGGGTGATATTGATAGCGAGTTTTGATAGTTGAGAAATTTGTGATGTTTAGCGTGTTTGGAGTGTAGTTGGTGTGTAGTTGGTGTGTAGTCATTGTTTTGTGTGTCAAAATAATGAGTGCACTGTTGAATGTCACATTTGCTAGCCAAAAACCATTAAAGGTAGATTGAAATGTAAGTGTTGTCTCCAGGTGGAAAACAGGAGGAATGTTGACAGGTCTGCAGCTATTATCCCTGTGATATGCGCCTCTTTTTTGTAGTTTTTTTTTTTTTAATTTCACAAATAATTTGTATGGCACCTTATTGTTCTGTAATTTTATTTTTAGAAATAGTTTTAAATGGTTGTACAAAAGACACCTGAGGTATTGCATGCATTTTTAGGTAAATAGTTGCATATAGCTTTGCTGTTTGCAAAATTTGTACATATTTTTTTTAAATGTACAATTTCTGTTTGCATTTCAAGTTATGAAAATGATTTGTTAAACATGTTTTTTGCTTTCACAGTAAAAAAATTTTCCTACTCTGATTTTATTATTTTTCTATGATTTTTAGATCATTTGTGTTAATACAGTAAGTCAAAATTGAAAAAAAATGACTGTAGATTTAGACATGTGAGGTTGTGCTGAAAAGAATGATATCAAATAAGGTAAGGTCAATAGTTTTTAAAGTTGAAATATTAAGGTAAAATCAAAAGTACTGAAAAACAGCCAATTTAACCTTGGACCCCAGAGGGTTAAAGTTTAAAATATTTAATAAGTGGGTGTTCTTGTATCATTGATACCAACTATAGATGCAGTTTAGTCTGTGTTATCAGGTGCAAATGAAAAATAAAGCCTCAAAATGTAAAAAATGCTTCCTCTGTTATCTCTCTAGTCGTTCACACTCTCCTGCTCGATCACGGGGAAGGTCCCCAGGACGAATTGGTGTTCAGAATGGAGAGAAGGACTGGGAGACTGGCTCCGCTATTTCCTCCCCTGCTTCTATCCCAGAATATACAGGTCAGTCATAATTTCCACACAAAAAATTGTAAAAATGAATGCTGCAAGCATTGTTTTGTTTGCTTTATAGCATTTGGAAATGTTGTGTTTTGCAGGACCAAAGCTGTACAAGGAGCCTAGCTTTAAGTCCAACAAATTCATCATCCATAATGCTATCACTCGTTGCTGCCTGGCTGGGAAGGTCAATGAACCACAGAAAAACAAGATTGTAGAGGTAAACCATCCCGCTGTGTCAGAGTCCAACAAAAAGCTACACCCTAATTAGGTTATGTAACGCACTTAAAGCCAGGTTTATACATGTTTGCGTTTGGGTTGTCCCAGACAAAAGCTGCTCAACATGAAAGAACTATAGTGATTTTTTTTAACTTGTGGCTTCCAAATGGTGATACTGTGTTAAAAGATGGCTGTTGTAATAGACTTCCAACCAAAAGGCTGTCTGGGAAAAATTCTGATAGTATCAGAAATTTTAAATGACCATCTCACAATGTGACTGCTGCCACGACCTATTTGTCAACAATTCAACATACAGTGATGCACAGATCATTTTGTGAAAAGACAAAACAAATTGAAGATGGAGGTAAAACATGCAAAACAATATGTTTGAGGTGGTGGCAAAAGTGTGGCGGCAAAACCTTTGTGTAATATGACTACCAGCTGTTGTTATGAATGCCCTAAGGAGGATGTAGCATGTAAAAATAAGTTGGTATTATCATCACACAACCTGCATGCATCAAACCTAATGTCCTCCCCAAGTTGATTAGGTCCATATACTTATTCTTTTCTCTATATCTCTCTTTTCAGGAAATGGAGAAAAGCACAGCCAATCACTTTCTTATCCTCTTCAGAGATTCCAGCTGCCAATTCAGAGCGGTTTATACCATGAACCCTGAAACCGATGAGATGGCACGGCTAACTGGCATTGGCCCGCGAGTCATCACGCTTGATATGGTTGAGTCCATTTACAAGTACAGCTCAGACCGCAAGCAGTTCACCGTCATCCCGTCCAAAACCATGTCCATGAGTGTTGACGCTTTCACCATCCCTGGCCATTTTTGGCAAAAGCGCCCAGGAACTCCCAAAAAGTTTGGCACTCTCAAATAAAGACTTATCCAATAAAGGTAGAGGTGCTTTTCAGGGAATCCATTCCCAACTTGACTTTTCATTTCCCTTGATTTTGGCCAGTGTGGCAGTTGAGATTGTTATTCAGTTAGAATAACAGAAAACAGATTGAGTGACTTTGGACAGCTATCCACGTGGAGCTAACACTACATGCTAAGAGAATGGGCCAAGCACCTACTCACTCAGCCAGTGTGCTTAGAATAGTTTATCTCTGGTCTACCTAGATTGTAAAATAATGCAACTGATTCAGGACAACAACTCCCCCCCCACCCCCCTCATGCCTTGCCTTACCCTGCCATGCCCGAGTCATTTTTGCGACTCTAAGGTAAGAAAAAGAGAGGACAACCACACTGCCTTTGCCTGCAAAACAGTACTTAGGGCACGAGTAGTTCCCACCCATCTCAGTTCTGCTTGCATTTGCCTTTTCTACTTCTAGGGCTCACTCTTTCCACTCTGCTGAAACAAGTCTAAGGTCTCAGTTTTGATTGGAGACTTCAGCTGAAAATTAATAGCAGATAACACTGCTCCCAATGAATGTAGGGCACACACTAACCATTCATTCCATTCAGGGGTGTTTTCACTGTTTGAATCTATTATAGTGAATGGTCCTTCTGCACTGGTAGTGACTGCTGTCATTGTCAGTGGACTTCCAGACCTAGGAAATGCTTGTGCCACATAGTTTGTGAACTCCATTCAATCTCTCAGCTGTAGACATCTGGATGTTTTTTTTATACCATTTGCCATGTTTTTGCTGGACAAAATTATTCACTCTTTGAGAACTAAAAGAAAAATGAAATTCATGTGACTTTTTCCCTAGTAGCTCGCTTTTTTCATTTTCAACACGTGATGAATTGAAATGTTATTTGAGCTTATCTTGAAAAATAAACCTGGAAACATGAAGGAGGGCTTTATCGTGTTTATCTTGGATACAGCTCTTTGTGAGAATGATAATCAATGATAATTTAATATATACTGAATGCTAATTAATTTGATTTTTTTTTGACAATGATTTGTAAAACGTTGACCTTTGTAAGCTATGAATAAGCTAGCCTGCTGCAAAGTATAAGTGAGATGTATGTTTGAGTTGCGAATGAGTGAATGAGAATGAATAGAATTTGAAACAGTTTGTCTTGGGATGAATAAATCCTTTAGGTCACTATGAGTCTGTTTCCTATTATTTTATTTCCCTGTTTATGTGTCTTGGCATATAAACAGTAGGTTTTCTTGATGAAGGATCATTCCGGACTGTAACAGCCCTCATCTACCCCACAGTCTCTAGAGACTCCATGTGCAACTGGAGGAATGTAAAATGCCGAACTGCTTTTTTTTCTTTTTTTGCTTGTGTCCACACTTCTAAGACCTTGGAATTGCTTGTTATGAGGTCAATATCACTACAAAAACCTGTGGCGAATTAGCCCTCTATCTTTTTTTTTTAGTTGTCCCGTCAACAGCTATTGCGGTTCAGCTGTCTCTCTCTCGCTCTCTTTTCAAACCACTGCCTGCAAGAAATGTGTTTTTGAATGAGATTCCATTACTGATATAAAATAATGTTAAACAGTGATTAGGAAATAAATGATAAATTTGTGTGTGAGGAGTAGTGCAAATGGAATTGGTGGACTTTTGTATTTATGTGTTTGTTAAAACTAGTATTTGGTAGTTAACAGCCTTTTATTTTTTTTTTTCTTTTCTTGATTCAGTGCAATTTCACCCCTAGAAATCCCCTTATCATTGAGAAGTGTATTTATTTGCTTTAATTTAGACGGTGCATTTGATGTTTAGTTTCAGGTTATCCTTTTTTTTTCCTTTAGTTTTTCTTTCTTTTTTTTGGTTTAGGTTATAAGTCATGTAGTCATTTCATAGAAGTTGTCATAACATTGGTTTTCTTTCCCTTGTTTTTGGATCTGTGCCAGCACACTATAAATGTTCATTCCATAAACGGACTTAACTGACTTCTTTGGCAACTTAACCAGATGAATAAAATCCATTTTAAATCATCTACATCTTGTTTTTCATCTTCATGTTTCTTTCCCACATTCATTTGTTTTTATTGTAGTACTTGGAGCAGTAATAATTGAAAAAATTGTTAAAGGTAAAATCAGCTGGAAAGAAGTTTCTTTGCGGAATAGTGAGAAAATAGCACCAATATGTCATAATTTTCCTCTTAAGTACACACAGAGACTTGTGTAAAAATGTAAAACTTTATTGATGCATTTTTCTTTCCTCTTTAGACAGTTAAGCTCTTCCTGATTACTAAAAACAACACGTTAGTGCTTGGTTCTCACATTTCTCAAGAATACTGTTAAAGAAACTGATGAGCTATTTGGCTGTGGTAACACTGCAGGCAATAGACTTGGCCAAAGCATTGCATGGGTACGCAAATACTTCTTTGCACTGATGATCTGTGATAGATAGCTTTTCCCTTACTTTCAACAATCATAAAAAGTAATGGAAAGGTGAATGTGGAAGGCAGAAAAGAACGTACCAACTTTACAGCAGCATACTGTGGCCACTCTGGTACCACAAGTGATATCATCTTCTCAGCTGTGCTTGGTGTGCAGCATCTCTGTAAGTAGAGAGTTACAGGGCAAATCTCCTTGAAGATGGCGCTGGTACAAATAGTCCTCAATTTGCAAGCTAATGCTGCGAACTTCAGGCAGCCGAAGAAGCAACTGGCCAAACTTGTCACAATGTCCTGGATGATTTTGCTGAGTGTACTCCATCAGCGCCCTGTTGACTCGCTCTTGAGTTTGCTCTACCTGCCTGCGGTTATGCACTGACTTCACATCTAGAGCAGAAAAAAACCCACACAACACAAACATAATTAACGTTGAACAAAAGCTACATTGGATATGTGTCTTCGAGGAAAATTGCTCACCGGGGTTAAATAGCACCAGGTATTTGAGACAGACAAACTCGTGTCTGTCCAAGTGGAGTGCCTTAAGTTTGGATACTAGGTCTTGGGTCCTTGATACCAGGCTACTCAGTGTCACTCCTGCCTGGGAAATGATGGTTGACACCTCAATCTGCATCAGAATAAGACAAAGAATGTGCTCATTATTACTTTCATTTCTTTGAAACATTTCTAAATGTAAGAATGCAGCATTTTAAAGTAGAAACCTGTTGTCCTGTGACCAGATATATGCAGCCTTCTTTGCCATACGTCACTTGTCTACATAAGTGATCTAGTACCAGCAGCTCACTCCAACAGCTCTGCAACAGCACCATTTGGTCTTCCACCTATTGGAAAGATTTTGTGTGTATTTGCAAATTAAAGATTATACTGGATGGCCTCAATTAAGGACGCATGCATGTTAAGGAACAAATGGGATAGATCTACTCTAACAGCTAATTAATCATTGTATCGCTAGAAAAGTGTTATTAATTTCATGTGTATCCCATGAGTTAATGGTTCCTCACCATCAGCTCCTTAAAGAGGGAACTGTTTCTGGCCCACTCCACTAGGCAAAACAGAGTCTGGTCAGCCATTTTGCACATAATGCTGAATGTATTCAGACGGTCGTGCTTGCCTCGGTTGGCCTGTTCTCTCTGAAGACTGGCCAGAACTTTGGCATTCAGCTGGCTCTCATCCTGTTCCCCTTCCAGCAGTTGGCTTAAGAAGTTAGGTGTAAGCGCTGATGATAGAGGGTTGGTTGGTGTTTGTGTGGGAGCCTGGGATACAGGAGTGGTTAAGCTTTTTGTTGAAGAGGGCAATGATTCTAGTGTACTTCTTGGTGTGAACGAGCTGTTTGGGGTTGAATCCACTGTATAGTTTACAGGAACTGGGCTGTAGCCAAAAGGCACTTCCAACTTCTCCTCAGGGTGTCCAGGGAAAGTGCAGTGGTACAGTCCAGGGTAAGGCAGGGATGGAGGAGTAAGACCTCTGTTTGTGTTCACAGTGCAGTCCAGAGACATGGGTTCACTTGACTGCCCCATGCAAGAAGTATACATGTGGGGTTGATTAACAGCTTCAGAAGTTAATGGATGACTGATGCAGCTGGTTACCACCTGGAGGTCATTTAGAGCGTGGGGACCATGTATTTGTCCAGTTTCTACCTTAATCCTGTAGGGATCAGTGTTTGACTGGTGATACACCTTTTGCTGTTTCATTTGTCTGTCCCGGCGGTAGAGGGGCCCAAATTTGTTCCTGCCTCCTCTCATACGATCTGCTCTGACCGCTGATGAGAGAACATCAAACAAATATTTAATTATAAACAAAAATATGTAAAAGATCATCTTTAAAAAATTACAATCTCACTCCATTTAGAGTTTGCAATCATTTACATAATTTACAATCTGGGTCAGCACTGCTTTATGAGTTCTTAGATAAGTCTCAAGGGAGGCAAAAAAAAACAACCTTGCGTATCAGTGAAAGAGAAAGCCTGTTGCAACTGAATGGTCTACAAATTAGCTGTGAATGAAGTGGTGGCAATTTGGTGTACCTTCTTTCTTCATACCCACAGCTAAACACTTCTGGAAGCGGCAGAATGGGCAACGTTTTCTCTGAGAAAGGTTCATGGGGCACCTCTGTTGCTCTGCACAGGTGTAATGTTTGTTGTTTTGCACTGAACGTTTAAAGAAGCCCTGCAAAGAAAATGAGAGAGAGGGAACCTTTATGCACACCACAAAACCATAGATATCTACATGTGCATCATTATTGTCGTAGAACTACGGGACATGTATCTCTTAATATATCTGTAGTACCAGATTATAGCTACCTGGTGTTTAATTCAAAACCATTAATGTGTTATTTATTGTGGACTCATAAGTCACTTTGGTTTTGCAGTTAACAAAGCTAAGATGACTTTTGGTGGCATAACAGAATGCATATTTTGCACTGCCCAAACCTTATCCTTTACCTTGCAGCTCTCACAGGTAAGAAGTCCATAGTGGTATCCTGACACTTTGTCTCCACAGACAGGACAGTTGTCCTCTGAGTCCAGTCTACTCTCTGCCTCTGTCTTTTGCTCCTGAGCTGAGGACCAGTAATATTTAATGACAAGATTTACATTATGACACAAACTTCACCGTTTGAGGGTGTTCTTCTTCTTCTTCTTCTTTTTTAAACAATGTTTTGTTTCAATGATATGCAAAGCTACTGCTTAAACTGAATACACTTTTCATATCAAATATGTGATGTATATAATATGTTGGAAATTAGTATATTTGGTAAGGTTGCAAGGAATCATGTGTGCCGTGCCAAGTATAATATTTCAAGTCATCTAAAACAGGAGGATAATTAGCAATCAGACATGAGTTAGAATTTTGTAAATCCTGAGTGGCTAAAGAGACTAGAATGCTGTGCTGCTGAAGTGTAAAAGTGTCATCTAACAGGGTTTATTGCCCAGCTGCTGAAAGAACAGTGGGCAGGACCATCGCTTTGCTGTAGACAGTACCTTATCACTGGGCTTGATTTGCTTGACTATGATCACAGATATGACCCTTACATAATATCCAGAACTATTCTCTCTATCTCCTCTATGACAGAAGGGAATCTTCTGGGAACCACTTTAAAACCTTTTTGTTTGTTTTGTTATTCTAAATGTGTTTTTTCAAATGAAAGTGACTACTGTTTTTCATAATATACATTCACAGACAATGTTAAAACCTGCTTCAACTTTCAAAGTATGAACTTTTTAACACAGGTAGTTTCACACAACATTTTTAAAATATATCTATTGACACCTACATACCAGTTCACTATTGACCCATAGCCACTTTCATCTAGTACTCACATGTTGATGATCCCTCCAAATTGATCAAATCCTCTTGATAGTTACCAGGGTGGTGAACAAGAGGCTGGTGCTGCTGTAGGTGATAACCTGGTAGGTCCATTTTAATAAGTGGGACATTGACTCAGCCCAGTTTGAACTTCATTGTAGCAGAGATCAGGAGACCGCAGACACTGCAGGTGGCAGGTGAGCAGGCCAAACCAGCGGCTGTGGACTGATCTTGTTTAAGGCCTACATGTGGACTTCGATCTATAGTGAGTGTCATAAAACCTCTCCTGATTGGCACTCCTACCAGCTAGTCTGTCAGCAAGCAAGCCAATCAACCACACATAGGTTGATAAGTCAAATAGCCACCTGCTGGAATCTTCCTGTAGTGAAATCATGTCAGTATCATTAAGGTACTCTGAGCTCACCTGATAAGAATCATTTA